AATGTTAATATTTTGTAACTTACTATAAATATACATAAATCTCTAACCTATTGCATTGTTTATTAGAATAGTGGACGAGGAAGATAAAAGTCTGGCCATGGGTGTAGCAGGGGCATTCTATTCATTATTTGGTAAATTTAATTTTATCTAATAAGTATATAATTAGTTAGTAAATAAAATTATCTAGATTAAAATCAGATAGAATTAAATATATAATACTATATTTCACTTTAAATAGCATTCATACCGTACCCGTTGGTGTATGGGTGGGTAACTAACACGGCGTGCGAGGTATGGGAGACCAAGTGCGGCAAAACGGGTAATTGTCTGGTGTATGACGTGGATAAGTTTCGCTATAGACTGATCGGGTTAACTCTGGGCTTGTATTTCGTGGCCTCAATATTCGACATAATAGTGGTATTCCTATCGCATAGAATCAAAAACCTATACAACGATGACGAGGATGAGACAGACCATCATATTAACAAACTATCAAATGATCACAAGAAATAATTTTTGTTTATAAATTAAAATAGTTTTAGGTAATTGGGATAAATATTTTATTTTTATATTATATTTATTTTAAATAGAATAATGGAATTAAAATATATTATAAAACTCTATGGTAATTTTTATATAATAATTTTATTTTATAGCTTAAATTTAATTTTGAGCTTGAAAATACAATTGTTCCCAAATTTTAATTCTTATTATAGACATTATAACATAAATGTACTAAATAATACAATAAATATTGATTGCAATTTTATGTGTACATTGAAATTTATGAGAAACATTTACCTATTACATATACCATTTACATATTTACTTATTTTTTAGAAAAATAAACTGATTATAAATTTATATAAATATAAAATTAATATTTTATGAAATAACTACATAACAGAACAATCTATAATAAGCTGCACTTTGTACTAAATTATAAAGGTATTAATTGTTTGTATAATAATTTTATCATGTTTAAAATTTATCAGACTACAAACCTTGTTGCTAATTATATAGAAACAATAAATATATATTTATAAATAAATTTTCTTTTACTTAACTAGGATTACAATCATTTATTTAATTAGGAATAAATGTGAGTCTGATGAAATATATTAGATATAATTAAGTAAATATAGTGCAATATTTTTTTAACAAAATACTGTAAAAAGTACTATTTTGTAAAACTATTTTAAATCATTAAATGTGTATAAAACTAAAATTAAAAGTTAAGACCTTAAACTTAAAGTTTATAAATCATTTCAAAATTTCATTCAAAATTCTTGAACATTTTAAGATATTTGTGAAAATATTTATCACAACAAGTGCAATATTAAATTAAACATTTTCTTACTGTGAACTAAT